TATACTTTTATCTCCCCCAATGTAATTTGATCATAAAGTTCTTTGGTCATTAGAACATAAGATTTTTTCAAATTATCCATAAAATAAATTGTATCAGAAATTTTCTGTGGGTTAAATCCTTCTTCTACCAACCAGAACTTCTGTAGTTTGAATGTTCCTGTAGTTTCCATTTTGTCCTGTAAAACAGTAACAGTGGTCAGTAGAATCATTTCATGTTATGAACAATATTATAATACCAATAAAATATTTCAAACATATAGAATTTAATGCTTAATTGTATTACTTTTTATATCTAAGGAACTTTTTAGTTCTAACTTTGATATAATAATTCTCCAAATATCAGAAAAATTATTGTCAGAACATTTAAATTCATAGCTTGATTTGCACCGAGGTTACCTTTGTCAAAATGATTAATTCAATATCTAAGAATTATGAGCACAGTGAATAAACTCATTATAAAATCAAACTCAAATCAAGACAAGTTGACTCTAACTCATATAGTGCACCTATAAGAGACTAGAAGTGCATCCTAAGATTTCATAGACTCTATGTCTTTCTGGAAACAGACTATATGCACATTGTTATCCCTTGAGCAGTGAGTGTAGTCAAACCACAGGCTTTTTGGTTAGAAGGTAAGTGCTTTCCCCACCGTGTCACCAATGCTCATTCTTTGTTTTCAAGTACACCTAAAACACGTAGGCTATCTTTTCAATTCAAAATCGATTTAATATTCTGTATAAGGGTTGTTCTAAGACATGAAAGAGATACTGAAGAAGAAAGCAACTCCCTTTGCACATATGCACAAATGTATTTCACATGGCAGATTACTATAGAAACAAAAGTACAACAGGGACACCAAACCTGCTCCTGTGGAACTGAGTCAGTTCTGACTCCTGAAGACCCCATGTGTGCAGGTTAGAACTGTCCCAGAGGGTTTTCAAGACTGTGAACAGCAGGCCTTTCTTCCCAGGTTTCTGGTTAGAGAATACTAACTATCATGCATATCAAAACAAACAGAACAACAAGGGTCCATGTTGTTTTTAGGTATTGGTCCTAATATATTTTAGATATGTTGTTGTTGTTGTTATGTGCCGTCAAGTCATTTTCGACTCA